TGTTTAGAGATAAAGGGGGAGGGGGCATGGCTATTAGAATATGGTATCTTTTTTAAAATATATATTTGATTGATTTTTTACAGAGAGGAAGGGAGAGGGATAGAGAGTTAGAAACATCGATGAGAGAGAATAGTTAGTTGCTTGTTAATCTTTTCTTACAGTCAACCCTGTTAGGATGAACAAGATACCATATTCTAGCCCTGACTGGTTTGGCTCAGTGGATAGAGCGTTGGCCTGTGGACTCAAGGGTCTCAGGTTCGATTCCGGTCAAGGGTATGTACCTTGGTTGCGGGCACATACCCAGTAGGGAGTGTGCAGGAGGCAGCTGATCGATGTTTCTCTCTCATCGATGTTTCTAACTCTCTATCCCTCTCCCTTCCTCTCTGTAAAAAATCAATCAAATATATATTTTAAAAAAGATACCATATTCTAATAGCCATGCCCCCTCCACCTTTATCAATAAACATCATTAGAGTACTAAGAAAAAAATAATCAGGTGTTGGAAACAGCTGTCTGCTTAATTTTACAGCTTATTAGGTTACCTGGTTTTTTTTTCTCCTCAGGGTAAAAAAAAAAAATCAACATAGTACCTAGTAGGAGTCTCATATAATGCAGATACCTTTGTATTAATTCTCTCTTTTTTTCTGTTAGAGATTTTGCTGTAGCATTGATGTAGCAACTATTTTTACATATTTCGCATGTGTGGGTCCTCTATTTATTTGAGGCACCAAAATCATTTCTCAAGAAATCTACACTCTTCTCAGTGTTTTCACTAAGGGATGAACTTCGGAGTCAAATGCTTGAGCTGATATCCTGCTACTGTTCCTGCTATTGTTCCTTTAACCTCTCTGTCTCATTTCTCTCACTTATAAGTAGGAATAATAATACCTACTTCACAGGACTGTACTGAGAATTATATAAGTTAATGTGTATAACATGCTCAATAAGTGTTAGATATAATAATAATATTTATTATATACATTGGGATTCCTTCGAAAGAAAATTGTCCATTGTTTGTCACTTGATGATCTCATTTTTCCTATTTATTTAAAACTGTGTTAGGAGCTGTAGCTGATGCCATGGGGCATACAAAGTTGTAAAGAAGACTTTATTCCTGTCTTTGGGATGCTTGTATACCAGCAAATCATGCTGTAGGTTTCCAAACTGAACTCTGAAGATTTTCCCATATTGGACAACACATATAATTCAGAGACCCACAGAGCTGTAGGTACCTTTAAGAGTCGCTGAAAAATGACTCTTTTGTGGAAGAAAGTATAATTTAAATGCAAGATGATAGTCCTACCCCTAGAACAGTGGTTCTCAACCTTCTGGCCCTTTAAATACAGTTCCTCATGTTGTGCCCCCCA